CAGGTCATGATCCTGGAGTCCCGGATCGAGTCCCGCATCGGGCTCCCTGCTCAGCGGGGAGTCTGCTTCTCCCTCTGACCCTTCCCCTCTCATGCTCTCTGTCTCTCATTGTCTCTCTCGCAAATAAATAAAATCTTAAAAAAAAAAGTTTAAAAAAAAAAAGAGTGAATATGAGTACATAAATGAATGAATGAATACATGAATGAATGGATTTATAGTAAATAACCTAATTTGATTTTGTTAAGTTGTTGGCAACCATTTAGAACATTTAGAATTAAAAGATGCTACCACCATGGGTTGTGCTAAGTGATTTTCTCATTTTAATTACTTAGACTTATAGGTGTTGGTGTGTTTTATGTGAATGTTTACATGAATGAAAGCAGTAATTTAAAGAAAAAGCAGGGGGGTGGCTCTTTCATTTCTTCTCATTTATGGTATTCTATTGATTGGGTAGGAGTTCTTTTAGAAGCAGCTATTGAGATTGAATATTTCGATTATCAGTGAACCTAACTTGCTGTATCCATGTTTACTTTTTATTTACAAAAGACCTGAAAACAACTACTATTTCCCGGATTTGCATCATATGAAGTATGAGATTGAAGATGGCACCACACCTAATGGAAGAGAACTTCGGTTTGGATTTGATCCACTGGAGTTCCCTGAGTTTAGCTGGAGAGGATACGCTCAGATGACCTCGGTACAGGTATGTAGCCAGCAAGAAATTGCTTCATGGCAGGGTAGGGCATATACTGACCCAGAACACTCTCAGTTAGCCCCCCAAAAGGTGAACTGTCCCCAAAACTGACTCCAGGATTCTTTTTCTCCAGACTATGGACAGGGTTTGGGGTAGGATTGGATTTTAACTAATAAGTGTATGTATCAGTTTCACAGTTTATTGTTAATTTGGTCACCAAATCAAACAAAGAAGGGGTTAAAGAAAACTAGTATTTATTTCTAGAGACTTTTTATAAGAAGTTGTTTCCCAAGTGGGATTAGTCTATATTTTAAAACAAGAGACACTTTTCTTTAAAGACATTTGTAGAGAATAAAAATGAGTAGAATTAAATAATTCCAATGGTGTGTGTGTTGTTGATATTTGACCAGTGCTGGTTTTTTTTTTTGCCTTTTTAAACCCTGAATTACTCTATGAATAGAAACTAAGATAAATGAGGAATTTTAGTGCTATTTAATTTTTCTTTCCTGTATTTCTCCTTTCTTTCATTCTTCTCTACTGTATCCACCTCTCTTGGCTTTGTGTTGGAATAGTAATGGAATTTTCACATTTTCTCGTTACCTTTAGAACTTATGCAATATTTACAAACCAACAATTTCTGTGTAGCCATTGAGAAGTTTTGTTCTCAGGATTTCTCTTGGAGGTTGGTCTCTTTAAACTGTGTTTCTCAGTGGAGAAATTCGGAACAAAAGAGGTAAATTGATGACCATGGTAACCCAGTATTTGTCCTTAGCAGACCCAGGACTAATACTTGTTATGTTTCCTTTAAGTCACCCCTTAGAAACAGGGACAGGGTCACAGTTCTCTTGGAGCCATTATTGGTTCTCATGTTGCTTCTTGCCTGACCAGGGTCCTCCATCAGACTGCTTTCTCAAACAGTACCTGGGATCTTTTTTTTTTTTTTTTTAATATACTTATTTATTTGAGAGAGAGAGTGTGTGAGCGGGGGGAGGAGCAGAGGATGAGGGAGAGGGAATCTCAAGCAGATTCCATGCTAAGCATGGAGCCCAACGCAGGGCTCGATCTCACAACCCTGAGATCAAGTCCTGAGCTGAAACTGAGTCAGATGCTTAACTGACTGAGCCACCCAGTCACCCCAACAGTACCTAGGATCTTAAGACCTCACTGCTTTCTCCTTCTCCCCAATATAAAATTCAGCTTCTTTAGCATCCCAATCTTCATGATTCAGAAAAAAGCAGTGGAGTCCATTAAGTCATAATAGGATGTGAATGAGAGTCCAGTCAAGGTGGATACCTTCTCACAGGTGTTTACAGTTTGAAAGAATGACTAGTTAACATAAAGGAAATGAATTCTTTTTTAAAGATTTTATTTATTTATTTGACACAGAGAGAGAGAGAGAACGAGTGGTGGGGAGGGGCAAAGGGAAAGGGGAGAAGCAGGCTCTCCGCTGAGGAGGGAGCCTGACACGGGGCTTGATCCCAGGACCCTGAGATCATGACCTGAACCAGAGGCAGACACTCAACCAACTGAGCCACCCAGGCATCCTGCAAAGGCAATGAATTTCAAATGATGGAGTTTCTCTAAGTATTTTTCAACAACAGAACTTGGTGGTGTCTGTCAAATCACCTCTAACTTTGTTCCTTATACATTTTTGCATGTTTATTTTCCAATATGGAACTAACACTTAGAGAGGGATTCTGTCAAGTTAGAAAGCCCACATTGAGTGGAATCTTAGGGTTTTCTATGTATGGTATCATGTCATTTCCAAATAGTGAGAGTTTTACTTCTTCCTTGCCAATTTGGATACCTTTTATTCCCTTTTCTTGTCTGATTACTGTGGCTAAGATGTCTAGTACTATGTTGAATAAATGTGGTGAGAGTAGACATCCTTGTCTTATTCTGACCTAAGGGGAAAAGCTCTCAGTTTTTCACCAGTGAATATGATGTTAACTGTTTGTTTTTCATATAAGGCCTCTATTATGTTGAGGTATGTTCCCTGTAAACCTACTTTGTTAAAGGTTTTTATCATGAATGGATGTTGTACTTTGTCAAATGCTTTTTCTGGACCTATTGAAATGATCATATGGTTTTTATCCTTTCTCTTATTGATGTGACATATCACATTGATTGATTTGCAAATACTGAACCACCTTTGCATCCCAGGAATAAATCCCACTTGATTGTGCTGAATGGCTATTTTAATGTATTCTTGGATTCTGTTTGCTAATATTTTATTGAGGATTTTTGCATCTATGTTCATCAGAGATATTGGCCTGCAGTAGTGTGTGTGTGTGTGTATGTGTGTGCTAGTTTCTTTACCTGGTTTTGGTATCAGGGTAATGCTGGCTTTATAGAATGAATTTGGAAGCTTTCCTTCCTCTTCTATTTTTTGGAATAGTTTGAGAAGAATGGGTATTAACTGTTCTTGAAATGTTTGGTGGAATTAGCCTGTGAAGCCATCTGGTTCTAGACTTTTGTTTTTTTGGGAGTTTATTTATTACTGATTCAGTTTTATTGCTGGTAATTTGTCCAAAATTTCTATTCCTACTTTCATTTTGGTAAGTTATATGTTTCTAGGAATTTATCCATTTCTTCTAAGCTGTCCAATTTGTTGGCATACAGCTTTTCATAATATTCTGTTACAACTGTTTGTATTTCTGTGGTGTTTGTTGTTATTTCTCCACTTTTATTAGTGATTTTGTTCTCTCTCTCTCTCTCTTATTTTTTGAAGAGTCTGGCTAGAAATTTAATCAATTTTGTTGATCTTTTCAAAAAACCAGCTCCTTCTTTCATTGATCTGTTCTATTGTTTTGGGGGGGCTTTTTTTGTTTGTTTAGTTTCTGTATCATTTATTTCTGCTCTGATCTTTATTATTTCCTTTTTTTTTTGCTGGGTTTGGGTTTTGTTTGTTCTTATTTTAGCATCTTGAGGTGTAAGGTTAGGTTATTCAGATTTTTCTTGCTTCTGGAGGTAGGCCTGTGTTGCTATAAACTTCCTTCTTAGAACAGATTTTGCTGCATCCCAAAGATTTTGGACCTTTGTATTTTCACTTTCCTTTGTCTTCACACAATATTTCTTCTTTGATTTCTTGAGTGACCCATTCATTGTTTAGTAGCATGTTATTTAACCTCCATGTATTTGTGTTCTTTCCAGATTTTTTTCTTGTGGTTGATTTATAGTTTCATAGTGTTGTGGTCAGAAAAGATGCATGGTATCCCTTTGATCTTTTTTAATTTGTTGAGGCTTGTTTTGTGGCCTGATATGTGATCTATTCTGGAGACTGTTCTGTGTGCACTTGAAAAGAATGTGTATTCTGTTGTTTTAGGATGGAATGTTCTGAACATGTCTATTAAATCCATCCAGTCCAGTGTGTCATTCAAAGCCACTGTTTCCTTGTTGATTTTCTGTTTGAGCGATCTGTCCATCAGTGTAAGTGGGGTGTTAAAGTCCCCTATTATTGTGTTCCTATTGATTATTTCCTTTATGCTTGTTAATAACTGTTTTATTTATTTGGGTGCCCCCATGTTGGGTGCATAAATATTTATAATTGTTATATCCTTTTGTTGGATTGTCCCCTTTATTATTGGAATGGAATATTATTCAGCCATAAAAAGAATGAAATCTTGCCATTTGTAACAATGTGGTTGGATCTAGAGAGTATAATGCTAAGCAAAATAAGACAGAGAACGATAAATACCATATGATCTCACTTACATGTGGAATTTAAGAAACAAAACAAACAAGCAAAGGAAAAAAAGGAGAGAGAGAGACAAACTAAGAAACAGACTCTTAACTATAGAGAATAAACTGGTGGTTACCAGAGGGGAGGTGGGTGAGAGGGATGGGGGAAGTAGGTGATGGGGTTGAAAGAGTACACTCATCACAATAAAAAAAATAAAATAATTTTTTTTAAAAAGCCCACATTCTCTTCGGATAGCTATTGAGAACAATTGCATATGACTTAAGCATATTTTAGTTACATCCAGATTTTATCACTAATGTGTTTGGGGTATTTTAACCTTTGTTCAGCCAACATAGGTTTCTGTGACAAATTAGAATTTTAGGTATGTGAATTGGACCCTGGAGAGGTCCTTCTACAGGGGTGGTGGTGTCCAGTAATACTGTCCTTTCCTTCTCTTCTGCCTTTTTGTTTCTCCCAGCCCATGGTGGTTGCCCTGTCACTATTGCTTTCCTTAAACTAGTCCAGCTACTATTCACTCTGTCTGCCTGATTCCAGAAGGGCCCAAAGAGGATCTCAGTTGCTGAGGGAACAGGTTTTCACTGTAACTTTAGTTGTAAGTGTCTTTAATTTATCGTTAGGCCTGCCTATTTCCATCTTCCATAGAGGTAGTTATTTGGTGCTTGCTGAGTGTGAGAGAGTGAATGAGTGAGTGAGAGAGAGTGAGAGAGAGTGAGTGTATATGCACATTACAAGTCCACTAGTGAAACCTGAATGGAGTATACTCACTGTTTGGCTAGCATTTCTTTTAGCCAGTTGTCTCTTATACTGTATGACTTTTTGGTATTTTTCAGAATGAAGTGAGGATCATGTTGAATGTGGGGAAGTCAAGTCTCTCTTTGTTTCGTGTTATTCTGAAATACATTAACCCTGGAACTGAAGCCATATCTGGTCGCGTGTCTATTTATCCATCCTGGGCTGAGGCAGGTAGGTAAATTTTCAAGCCTCTTTTGGATTAAGAAATAATTAATTAGTGAAATATTTTTTCCAATTTTCAGAGTTACCTTCTGAGGAAAGTTGAAGTCTGATGCATAGTCTGATGAGGGTGGTGTCCTAGGTGCCCTGTCTTTGCTACCTTTTCAATCTGTAAACATTCTGCTTATTCAGATTTTGCTGTTAAGTTTATCACTAACTGTCTTTTTAAAAAATTGATATAACAACCTGTGTGTCTTGGCTGAACCCCAGGTGTTATGATATCACCACAAGGTAAAGCTAATTTATCACTAATTCATGGTAGAGTGGGTGTCACCTTTGGGGTGGTATTGGACGGAGCTTGGCCTACTGCCCTAAATTTTCCCATTGTTTTCAGGCACCCCAAATAGGTCAAGGAGAAATGGGTGAAGAGAGGAATTTTTAAGGTGAATGCTGTAAAGCATGAAGCCCAAAAGAACTCCAGAGAGAAACATGCAAACTTCACTGAGGGGCGAAGGATTCCTGAGGGCAGAGGAGAAATCTGTTAGAAGGCAGATCTCATCAGAGCTGAGGCCTGGAAGTCTGTTCTGCAAGAATTAGAGTTTCTACCATTCCTGGCAACAGATTCCAGGAAGCACTAGGAATCCCACATGGACACAAAATGGTGCCCGTAGAAATCTAATTTAAGATCAAAATACAAGCATCTTTGTTCAGCATCCATGGCAAAGTCACTGGGGGCAGTGATGATGCTCCTGAGTTGTGTAAGCCAGGTCGTGAGGCTGGACGATGATGAATAATATGAAGAACTAGCAAGCTTGCCTTATTATATTCAAAGTATTTTGGCATTGATTTACTCACAAGACAAGTTTGTGAACTGATGAGGGTTGAAGAGGAAACAGAGCTGAGAAGTTTAGTAAATTGCCTAAGTGCATACCTAGTCTTTGTAGACAAGTTGGAATCTTCTGACCCCAAACTCTTTCTCATAGACACCAATCCCTCCTAGATGACAGTTTCGTCAGTAGTTTGCTCTCTGTTAACTCAAACAGGTGGAGGACATTGTGGTTTGTTTTCCCGTCCCCTGGGACATCTTTCCTAAGCCTCCACATCTGAGTCAGGGGCCTTGGTTGTGTATTCATGTGGTAACCTATGCCTCCTCCCGAATATGACTGTTCGCGCTCTGCTGAATTCTCCTGTTGGCTGGCCTGTAATCCCTCACCGTTCCTGTCCCACCATCAGGGAACAAAGGCCGTGCTGGCTGTGTGCACGGCCTCCTGTCCTGAACCTAGATCTCATGAATGTTTGTAGAGAAAATGCAAGGATTTGGAGCAAATGTTTCTTCTGAAGAAAAAGGCTCAGGTGGGCTCAGATACAGCAGTTTGGTTTGTTTCTGAACCTTCTATAGGAGGTCCTCTCTGTGTTTCACGCAGAAGAAAACCTTTGCATCCTGAAAACAAACAAACAGAAAACCAAAACTTTTTCTTATGTCAGAACGAACACATGTTCTTCAATAGAAATTAAAAGAATAAAATAATTTAATATCAAATGTAATGAATTGAACGCTTACTATGTGCAATGAACTTCTCTAGGCAGTTTACATGTATTAATATACTTAAACACTTAACAAATTTAAGAAGTACTCACAATCCCAGGATACATAATCACTGCTAACATCAATATCTTTCTGGTCTGTTTTACACATATGTGATGCAAGCATACAATTAAAAAATATAAAATAAATAAATCTGATCAGTAAGTATGATGAGTAACCACCCTAAACTTTTTCAGATGTAAATTGAATGTTTAAAACTGATTATCCAAAATCCTAAGAGTGACTGCTAGGACAAGTGCCTTAGGCAGTTCTTTTTTTATTTCTGATAGGTGCTGCTCAAAGCAAAGAAGTCATCTTCCCGCCAAGTAAGGAGGCAGCCTTTGTCGCTGTCCCCAGATATGGTTTGGCAGACCCATTTTCGATTGCACCAGGGACATGGATTGCTTGTATCAAATCAGAGGGAGTCCTTCTGGTAAGAGACCTCCTGCGTGGAGAGTTCTGTGGGATTCTTCCCCCCGCTTAGCATGGTCCCACCCACAGTGACCCACAGTGACCATAAGATATCAAAATCACAGGCAGCTCCCTTTTAGACATAAGAAACTATGGTGACATTTGCCCTCAAATGACAGAGAAGCCAACTTAAAATATCTTTTTTTTTTTAAGTATTTATTTGAGAGAGAGAGAGCGAGAAAGAGCACAAAGGGGTGGGGGAGTGAGAAACAAGCTTCCTGCTGAGCAGGGACCCCGAGGCAGGGCTCAATCCCAGGACCTCAGGTTCATGACCTGAGCTGAAGGCAGACGCTTAACTGACTGAGCCACCCAGGAGCCCCTAAACTATCTTTTGTATTCTTCAGCCAGCTCATCCCAGAGAAAAAAACCAGACCAACCATAACTCATAATGACTCAAAGATATCAGAATAAATGCAAAACCTTAATGTGCATATGTCCTCACCCTTCAAAAGCTTCTTTGGGATTTTTCATTATGAATCAGAAGGACATCTTCGAAAATCAGCCCTTCTGGGAATTGTGCAGAATGAATCAGAAGAAGCTACGAGAAGAGCAGATCCTACTATCAGTGAAGTTGGTGGCGGCGGAAAGGGAAGGGAGAGCCCGTGCTTCTCTGACATTCCCTTCTTCTACCTCAAACGTAGGCAATAGTCTCCACACAGATGATCTTGGACAAAGAATCCTGCATCAGGGGCAAAGCTCTGTCCCTGCACACTAATAGAATAGCCAGAGAAACCATGGGGAATTAAGAGATGAAAACTGCTATCTGAGATATTGGTATCTTATAAAAAGTCTTCTGAAAATGAAGTCTTTGGCGAAAGCTAGGTTTTGGCCAGAGTGGAAAACAGTAAGCCTTTCCTTCTGGCACAATCCTTTTGATTGGCTATGTTAGCAAATCTTAGGCAAGTTCTTTAACTCCAAGCCTGCCTCAGTTGCCTCTTCCTTGTAATAGGGACAATGTTTATCCAGATAGGTCCTTTCCAAATCTGGGATCTTATGAGGATAATGTGACAGTTTATACTATTGATCCAGTCCCTATTTTTCTTGCATCTTCTTGGTAGCAAGCTTTGTTGCTTTACAAAAATTTTAGAATTTTTCATAGACATTAGAAATGAGGACAAGGAAAATCCCATTGGTGCCAATAATGGGTACAAAGTTGGATTAATGGAAAGAAGGTCATTATGTTACTCCACAGGCATGGAAGATGCTTGATGACATTTAGTGCAGTTGTATAGCGACTCATATATATGCTTCCATGTTATGATCCCGTTTTCTCTAGAGACATTTTATTGAACACCTACTATCAACCTTTACTGTTCTAAGATCTATGGGACCATAAACCAATGAGGAGCTATCGTCCCAACCTAAGGAAACTCAGTAAGAGAACAATAACCACTGTTAAATTAAAGCCCACTGAGGTAGTGAGACCCCCGTGGTAGACCACAGAGCCCCCTGGGCCACCATCTGCTACTTTTCCTCTCTATGCGTTTCTCTTCTTCTCCATTATAGACAAATTAAGGGCCCTGACAAGAGAAAAAGCCTTATGGCCGGTGTATGAGTCTCTTCACAGTTGTGGCAGACATCCCCCCTCCTTCCCTCCGCACACAGCCAGTGGTGCCAACATTCTTCTGAAGCTGTCAAACCATCAGCGTCTCAGAAACCTGGAGCTCTGCTCTTTCCTGAAGAGCTGTTTAGCTGGATTTACGCTGTGGGCTTCATTTGGCACACTCCGTGGAACACATTCTTCCGCTCGTCTCCTAGGACAGGCAGTCAGCCAGTCTCAGCCTGTGATTCACCAGGATCACAAAACATCGTTTTTTATACCATGCCAGGCGAGCGTTGCTTTGGTGTGGGAATAATAAAACCGAAATGCCTGACCCACAATTCAGAGTTCTGATGTGTGGTGATGAAAGCAACCGGTATTTCAAAGGACCAGATTATCAGCTGATAGTTTATTATCTTTGTTTATTTTTGAATTTATACACAATCCAGAAGGGAGGGTAAAATTTCCCCGAGTTGTGAATACAAAAGCGTCCACCTTGAGATCCTTATCTCCGATGCTTGGAGCCCACCTGGGACAAGTTGCTTTGTGTGTTTTGGTGAGTCAGGGGGCAGAACAAAGCAGCTGCTGGGGAGAGTTTAACTTGGCGAGCTTCACCTGGTTATTAGTAACTGAGCTGGCATGCTTGACTGTTTTATTACTCAAGAAAGGCCACCATCATCTGAATAATTGTCCTCTTGGTCTTCATTTCCTAGGACTACCTGGTGCTGCTTCCCAGAGACTACTATGAGGCCCCCTCCCTGCAGCTGCCAGTCACCCAGCCATGTGCCGACTCAGGACCTCCCGAAGAGAAGTTAGTATGGGCAGTGGGGCGTCATTGGGGTCCTCTGAATTAGGAACCTTTGGTGCAAGGATTTGAGAGAGGCCTCAGCATCACAACTGCAGCAAGATGCGTTGGATAATTATTTAATTGTGGTCTTTCTCTGAGGCCGTCAACTATCTTATATACAAGAATCACAGAGCACTTCGCACCCTGTGGTTGGCATTTAGAGTGACGTCCACCCCCTAGTATGTGGAAATGCTGATGCTTGACCAAGTAATACCCTCAAGGTTGTGCATCTGCTGAGGGGAAGGGCTTAACATAGAATCTGGGTTTATGGACGTTTCCTTTTCTTATTCTTCATGCTGATGACAGTTTACTACCCGATTCCTCCAGTAGGCACATGGTAGGAGTTTGCTGAAGGAGTGAGGAGTGAATGGAATGGAAAGAGTCCTTTGGGGATTGCACTTTGATGTTGTGTTTTGTTCTCAGTTGTAACTGTTGTACTTTGTTGTTGTTGAAGTTGCTTGCTTTACCAGCATTTGCCAGTGACCCGATTCCCCTGTGCCCTGGCTTGTGAGGCCAGACACTTCCTGCTTGACGGGGAGCCAAGACCCTTGGCAGTGAGGCAGCCCACCCCCGCACACCCAGTCCTGGCGGACCTCAGTGGGAGAGAGGTGGGGCAGCCTTTTATTTACTATCAAAGCTATTACTACCTCCCTGTCTGTGTCTGCTGAAAACCCTTGGCCGCAGTTGCTTCTCAAATTCAGGGGAACCTGGAAGAATTTCTCAGAAGGTGTTAATTACAGGTGTACTGAGTTCTCTGATCCAGGTTGTGGCTGGGCGCCACGCCACACGGAGCATAGTAAGGTTCGTCTTTGAGCACTTTCTAGACAGGGCAGGGAATGTGGGCAATCACAGAAGCCTCTCCTTTTTATTCCCTAGATTTATAAGGGTGTGTCTTGCTCTACCTGATTTGGGGCAAGATCTTTCTAAATGGCCTCCAGAAACTACACAGCTTACCCTAAAAGGATGCAATGCTCACTGACTGTTCAGCCCCTCAGGCTAAGCAGTTTGTAAGGGCTGATTTCTTGGAGCTCAGAATCTGGAACTGCTGCATCCCAATGCACCTCCCTCGTAGCTTAGAGGACAGGTTACTACAGGTTTGGGCGTTGCTTTTCTTCCCTGAGTTTTGTAAGCCTCAAAACAATCTAAGACTCTACTGATTTAAGATTTGGGTTAGAAATCCTGTATATCAACACTAAGAACACACAGTGCAACACCTCAAAAAAAAAAAAGACACTGAAAAAAAAACTTCCTTTACTATATTTCCATTCCTGACTTTTTACAGCATTCTCTGTTTGTACCTTCGAGTCCAATGTTCATGTTTAAATGTGTAGACTGATAACATATATGGTATTAATTCTCACTGAATATTTAAATGTGTACCTTTTTGTAAACTATATTACTAACATTTCCAGGGTAGCTATTATAGGATTTTAAGGATATTTCTTTAGTCCTCATTTCATTTTTTTATTTGAGTTTTTGTTTTGCAAAAAAAATATATATGTATACTTGTTGTAACAAGTGAAGCAATACAGATATGCATAAAGAAAAACAAATGATCTCATTTCCACTCCATTCTAACAGTCTTCTGTGTCCCTCCCAACCCATGCTGTGTACATACACACATATGCATATACATACATAAATATGCACACACACATGTGTGTGTGTTCCCCAGATAGCAGGGAGGTGCTGTTGAGAAGGGTCAACCTCTAGGAAATGATGCTGATGACTCATCAGGAAGTGTCCTTGCCTCTGATTTAGCCCAGAGCCACAGCATTGAGGTGTTGGGCAGGGCCATATTTGCATGATGCATAAAACTAAGCCCTGGGCTGTCCAGTTTCATTTAACAGTCTGTTTTACCATTTTATCTAAATGCTTACAGACTTGTGCTGTCTAGTACAGCAGTGACTAGCCCATGTGCCTATATATAAATTTAAATTAATTAAAGCTAAGTAGAGCTAAACATCCAGTTCCTCAATTGCACTAGCCACATTTCAAGTGCTCAATAATCACATATGTCTAGTGGCTACCTTATTGGAAAACACAGATTATAGGATTTTTTTTTTTTTTTGCTATCACAGAAAGTTCTATTGGACAGTGCTATAATAGATCATTGTGCTAAAATTCAAAGACTAATGCTTTAGAAGAGGTCTTAGAAATCATTTGATTTCCCTTCCTGTTTAGGAATCCTTTCTAAATTATCCTTATTAAACATTCATTTAGCCTCTATTGAATACTTAAATCAATGGAGGAGTCACTTCATCTAGAGGTAGACTAACTTTTGGTCATCATTAGCCACCTGGAGCAATGCAGAGTAATCCCTCCTCTGGAAACCATGTGTGGTGTGATGGTCAAGATAGTTCTGGAGTGAAACTGCCTGCCTTCATGTCTTGGGTCATCAGTAACTAGCTGTAAAATCTCTCCAGGTCTGAATTTACTAGTATACAAAATGGGGATATATAAATGGGGGTATACAAAAGTAGCTACCTCGTGGGTACTATTAAATAAATAATCCATGAGGGGCTCTTGTTGTGATCAAGTGATCACTTAGTAACCATTAGCCATGCTGCTAGTATGTGTTCTAGTCAGCACCATGGGCTGAAAGAGCAACCCACTAAGTCTAGCTCATAAGAACAGTTTTTCCTTTTCTAGGATACAGGGAGGTCTGGCAGGATTTCAAGGGCAGGAACTGAGTACATTCAGGTCTCCTAGGAATCTTCGAGGGACAGAGCTACCTGGCTCTCACAGAAGCCCTCCCTTCTCTCCATGTGTTTGCCTGTTTACCTCTCCTTCTATTAAATGGCCTCCTTTGTTTACTTATAGCTCTTTGTCTCACACACATACCGTGAAGGCTGCTCTGGTGCCATTTCTTTGTTAACTCTTAGCTCTGGCACGTACTGCCACCTGAGTCTCCCTTCTTTATTCTTTCTGAGAAAGAGAAGGATCATTTCTGAGAAAGAGACAGCTCATCTTTTAAAGTCAGATCACACTGTTGTACACCAGGGAAGCCTCTGTCTCTTGTAAACAAATTTATAGGTATATATTTTTTTATATTTCAATTTTATCTCTGTTTTACAATGTGATTTTAATCCATTTATATTTATTGTGATTTCAGACATATTTGGACTTATTTTTATCATCTTATTTATTTTATTAGCTTTTTAAAATTCAATTTAATTAACATATACTATATTATTAGTTTCAGAGGTAGAATTTAGTGATTCATCAGTTGCATGCAACACCCAGTGCTCATTCCATCAAGTGCCCTCCTTAACGCCCATCATCCAATGATTACTAGCTTTTAATTTACCTTCTTAAAACTAATTTTCCTACTTCTGTTTTTTGTTGTTGTTGTTGTGTTTTTGTTTTTTTTTTGAAGTAAGCTGTAGGCCCAACATGGGGCTTGAACTCATGAACCTGAGATCAAGGGTAGCATGCTCTACCAACTGAGCCAGCCAGGTGCCCTTACTTCTGTTTGATTGAGACAGTTTTCTCTATCTTTTCCTTGTTTGATAGGTATAGATTGTTTTCTGATATTTTAGTGGTTACCCTTAATATTTTAACATATGCTCTTAAGTATATATTTTCCAGAAAAGTCTAAAGTTATTCAGTAATTCTGATCTCTTCTTTTACACAAAGCAGACTTTAGAATTTTTATTAACAATTGTAAACCAATCTCCAACTTGTTGTTGTCTAGAAATTTTATTTTTACCCTTTCCCCAGACTTTCAGATAGATTGTAAGTTTCATCTTAATTCAAATACACCACATACCATCCCTCCCTCTCTTCTCCTTTCCTTTCTTCTTTTTTCTCTTCTCCATTTCTTCATGGAGATATCTCTCCTGGAATCTTTCATCTCTCTTCTTTACCCTGGAATATAGTCTCTGGGCTTGAGGTACAGCCATTTCCTGAAATTTTTCATCACTACACCCACCATCTTAAATATTCTCTTTTTTTTTTTTTTTTAAAGATTTTATTTATTTATTTGAGAGACAGAGAGCATGAGAGGGAGGAGGGTCAGAGGGAGAAGCAGACTCCTTGCCGAGCAGGGAGCCCGATGCGGGACTCGATCCTGGGACTCCAGGATCATGACCTGAGCTGAAGGCAGTCGCTTAACCAACTGAGCCACCCAGGCGCCCTTAAATATTCTCTTTTTAACCTTTGTTGTATTGAATCTTCTTTTTTCTGACTATTGGAACTTCCCTTTTTTTTTTTTCCTTCCTCATTTTGGTAGATTATATCCTCCAGAGGCTTCCTGTGAAAGGTCACATAGGAGCTACTTTTTGTTGTTGTTGAGAACTTGCATATCTGAAACTATCTTTATTCTACTCTCAATCTTGATTTTTTACTTGGTTAGATATAGGATTTTAGATTAGAAATCATTTCTCCCCAGAATTTGATAATGTTTCCTCATTGACTTCTAGCTTCAAGTCCTGTTCTTGAGAAGTTACATTGTGGTTCCCAGTGCTTTGACTGCAATCTGGTTTTCCTTTCTCAAAGCCTTTGAGGTCATTTCTTTATTTCTTGTGTTCTGAAATTTCACAAGGATGTGCCTTGATATAGATAATGTTTTGGCCAGTGTGCTGGGCTCTCAGCCTTTTAGCCTGGAAACTTCTATCCATCATTCTGGGAAACTTTCTTGAGTTATTTCTTTGATAATTTATTTATTTATCTTTAATCAGTATTTATAATCTCTTGATCTTGTTTTATGCTTTGGGAGATTTCTTCAATCTTTTCTTCCAACCCTCACCCCAGCTCTGCTCATACAGACACTTAGGTTTCAGCTTTCTCTGGTCTAATTAGTTGACATTCATCTGCTTTCCAGCTTCCAGAATTTTGTTGATTTCTCTGGTCTGTTGGGTTTTTATTCCTCTTCCCTATTCTCTTCTTCTTTGTGGGTTTATGATTTTAAAAAAACTGACTCTAATTTTTGCAGAGTTCTGAGAGGGAAGATCAGTAAATATAAGTGTTTAATCCATTATGTTTAACCAGAAATCCTAAGATGGACTTTTATTTGTGACATTCTAATGTTTCATTATGATATGCTTAGGTATAGATTTATTTTTATTTATCTATTTAATCCTCAGGTACACTTTCAGAATGAAGATTCATATCTTTCACCCTGGGAAATTCTCATTATGTTATCACTTCAAATATAATTTTGCTGCCATTCCTTACATTCTTCTTTTCTGGAAATCAGACTGGATGAATGTTGGAGCCTCACAATCAATCTCCAAACTACTGTTTCATATTTTTATATCTCTTTGGATCTTTGTGCTACTTTGTGGGTGAATTCCTCAAGACTTCCTTAGAATGCATGAATATTTCACTATGTCCAGTCTAGATTTTATCTAGCCTATTGATTCAGTTTAATTTATACTGTTAATCTCAAAGATTTCTAATTGGCTCTTACTCATATTTACTTTTCCTTGTTTGGTTTTTTTGTCAATTTAGTTTCATAACTATATTTACTTTTTAAAGACATTCCTCTTTCATTTATATTTTTGAGTTTCTTAATGTCCTTGGAGATAGGTATGTTTCAGAATTCAGAATTTTTAAGATTCTGTGCACACACACACACACACACACACCATCTCCACGGGGGTCCTGGCCAACACCCTATAACCAAACATGTTAATATTTCCCCAATGAAAAGCATGAGTAGGCACTCCAAGAGAAATACATGAAGACTGTGTACATGGACTTAATTCAAGTCAGATTTTGCCACCAAGTGATAATTGGTTAGGTGAGATTAGGTTTTGCCACCAAACAAGATCCAAAATAATTTCCTTTTCCAAGTTTGAAGATTTCAGGTTAGGGACCAGTATATTCATTTTAAAGTCTTTATCAGACTGTCCCATAAAATTCATTTCATCTGAAGTAAACTCATCTTCTGATTGCTGATATTGTTGCCTGTTTCTAACATTAGATTTCTTTACGTGTTTTGGAGGCTTATCTTGTTTGCAGGCTTATTGGCTTATTTTGAATGGAAGGTTTTTATCCTCTCCCTTTTTCTTTATACCCATCTCAGCCTCGTAGTTTTGCAATGTCTTACCAGTCCTCTGGACCATTAGCTCAGAGGCAGGCATTAAAATGTGCCACTTCTATTGTTGTGATATTAGTATTAGCACAGATTCAGATGCTGAGTCAGTGGGTGGCTTAAATCAGTTCTTGGTCATGAGGCTACATCTGTGATATTTGATTCCCAAATTCTACAGCTTCTTATAATGCTGAAATCTAAGTGGCAGATTGTCAGCAACTTTTTCAGCTTTTCATGATTTGAGGGAACACTTATCTTTGTCTTAAAAAAATGAGCCTGGATCTGACCACTGTCTCATACGAGGCATCTCTAGTTTTCTTTACTCTGCATGAGCTGAACTGCTGACCAAAACAGCGTGCTTCCAGACTTGGAGGACAACAGACCCCTGACTTCAGCCGCCATACATTTTGAGTTTTTTTTTTTTTTTACTTATATTCCATCACTTTTAATCTCAAACATATCTTTTTGTTTTCCTTTTAAAACATTTTATCCATAGTTGCTATCTCTTGGAGCAGAAGGGGTGCAAAAAAAGTGAATTCACTGTGCCATCTGACCTGGAAGTCACTGTCACCTTTTAAAGATGCTAAATTCTATCCTCTTTTTTAATAAAACCCTCCTTTCCCTTCCCACAGTCCCTCAGCCATAACGCTTCCCTCCTTCACAACCAAACTTCTCCAAAGAATTAGATAATTCTATACCATTTCTAATTCTTTCACTTCCATTCACACCTCAACCCACACCAGTCTGGCTGGCTTGCTTCCTCTCACCCTCCTACCTTCCCTCCCTCCCTCCCTCCCTCCCTCCCTCCCTTCCTTCCTTCCTTCTTTCCTTCCTTCCTTCCTTCCTATCTTTTCTTTCTTTCCCAGGGTTTCCAATGATGTTCTTGTCACTAAATCCAGCGGATATTTTTCATTCCTCACCTATTCATCTATTTAACTTCTCAGCAGCTTTCAATACTTGTTGAATACCCCTTACATCTTAAAATACTCTCTTACTTTGTTTTCCATAATTTAAGAGTGGTCTGGATCTCTTCCTACCTCTCTGGCTTCTTCCTCAGAATATCATTTACAGGCTTAACCTCTGTCTAGCCATTGAATATTGGAATTTGTTCAGGCTCAGTCTTAGCCTTTGTCTTTTTACCTTATATTCTCTGCCTAAGCAGCCTCCTCTGTGCCTGTTGTGTTAGATACCAACTCTACATAGATAACTACCAAATTGGTATGTCTAGTCATACTTGTCCTTTCAGATGCAGAACAGCATAGCCAACTTCCTTCCTGACATTACCTCTTAGGTGTCTCAGAGGGATCTCAAATTACATTTCAGTGTCCCTACCTAAGTAAATAGTGCCACCATCCATCAGATTGTATAAATCAGAATCCTTAGGGTCATCCATGACTTCTTCTGTTCCCTCCCTCACCAAAGACAACCCATCTCTGAATCTACATCCCAAACTTTTCTTAAATGTCTCTACTTCTCTCCATGTATCTTTCTTGCCCAATATATGATCATCTTTCATAAGGATCTCTGTAGTAACCTCTTAATTAGCTCATTCACACTGGCTCTTGCCCATTGCATCTCACAATCTTGACTCCATACGATTGTCAGCATACTCATGTTGATAGAAATATCTAATCATCACTGACCCTCTCACCCCATCCTAATCCATACATAATTGGAAAATTTCAATAACATCTTATTGCTGTTAGAATAGAGACAGAAGATTTTAATGGTCTCTAAGGCTACCCCTCTTACCTCCCAGTTTTATCATAGTTCTTCTTTCTCTCTGTTCCTCACCACTGTGGCCTGCCTTCAGTCTCTTGGACTTACATATCTGCTACCCTACAGCACTGTATGTCATAGGGTAACCTCCCACTGCAGGATATTCCCTCTGCCTGAATGCTCCTCCCTCCCCTTGGGGGCCTGGCTATCTGTTCCTTGTCCTCAAGGACTCAATTAAGTTGTTGCTTCTTCAGGAAGTCTCCCCCCTTCCCTAGTCTTCCTGAACAGCTCAGACAGCCCCCTGAGCACCTAGTCAGAACATTTGTCATACATATAATTTTACAGTGTGTTGGTCTAATTAGCTAAGTATTTGATTAAAGTCTGTCTGAGGATAGAGACCAGGTTTGTATTGTTTCCCATTGTATGCCCATCAGGTGAGCTGGCATAGGGTAGGTGTTTAATAAGTATAGGTTGACCAAATCATTTTGAAGACTCATTTTGACATCAGATATGTTCACCATCCCTCTTAGCTTTGTGTAAGCATCAGATTTGATATGCCCACATTTTATGTCTTTATTTGAAACACTCACAACTAGGTGAGGGCTGTTCTATGCCATAAAACCAGAAGGATCCTTCCAGTTTGACACTGGTTCTGATGAAGTTTCCTTTTACTAAGATAAATCACTGATAACAAACAGCAAATAATAAAATTTCTACTTGCCATGATTTGTCTTTTATCTGAGTTTCCCAAAACCTACTTTTACCAACAGATGTATTCAAAAGCCTTCCTACAAGTCTTCCAAAAAATCAATCTATAGGACTCAGAGTGGAAAGAACAATAGAAATTTATAATAGAGTGCTGTGATAAAACTGGCAGCCAATAATAACTTCTGGGAGAAAAGTGAATACATCATTGGCCTGTGTGGGCTTTATGGTGGGTGAAGACAGACAAACCCTTGTTTGGAGATGCCCAGGGGAGAAATGCTGGTAATAACCTCCACACATGGACCAATATTTCACTCTGTAACGGAGTGGAAAAGTGGTGTGGATAATCCATTTTTTTTTTAATCCCTGAGGGAAGTCTTTCTATTATTTAAGTGATAGAAAAATCACTGTGGAAAATATTAGTTGTGTGGCTCAGGGCTGTGCAGAGAGAACAGTAAATGTGAATTTCCTGAAGGCAAGGGGCAGGAGGATTTTAATTAAGTGTGGTAAAGCTTGGCTGAGCCTGAGCTTACAGACTGAAGGGGGTTAAACTGCTACAGAATGTAGTTCTAATATTGGCTCAGACATTCAATATGCAAATATACTTTGACTCAGCAATTCTACTTCTAGGAATCTTACAGAAATACTGGCCTAAGGATATGCATATATATGATGATATATATATATCATCATATAGCTTTATATGTTATAGGGAAAATTAGGGACAACCTAAGTGTCCATCAGTTGGGGATTAGTTAAATCATTTTATGCTCATACTATATGGAATGGTAGGAAGCCATTAGGAAAATGAAGTTTATCTGTTGTGCTGCTGTGAACAGCGAAAATATTGTTGAGTGAAAAAAAGCAAGTCATGGCAAAAGGCAATAATCACAATTATAATCATCATAGTATGTAGTGTTTATGTAGTGTTTGTGACATGCCAAATACATTTTTAAGAGTTCTTCATATATTAATTCATGTAATGCTCATAATAATTTTAAGAGGTGGGTACTGTTGTTATCTTCATTCGTACACTGGAGGACACGGAGGCGTATAGACATTAAGTAACTTGCTCAAAGTCACACAGCTGGAAGCAGTTTGATTCCAGACTCCAAGCTCCTAACCACGTGTGGGCATTTTTTTTTTTTTTTTGGTAAGAGGCCAGATAGTAAATATTTTTGGCTTTGAGAGTCGTATGGCCTCTGTCGGAGCTACTCAGCTCTGCCGTGATGGCACGAGAGCATCCATGATTGCTTATTATGAGCAGTTTTCTTTAAAAAAAAGGAAAAGTACATGCGTGTGTATTTTCAGACATGGACAATGGTTTGGAAGTATGGAAACCAAACTATTATTAGTTACTGTCCCAGGAGTGGGGTGCATGTATCACTTCTCATTATCTGCATCCACAAAATTTTAAGTTCATTTTTTAAATTGAAGAATAGCAGAAGAGCCTCAAGGCATACTTCTATTCCTCTTATCACCCACTGGAGATTCTTTTTTACCTCAAGTTTTAGAGTGTCTTTTGCCTTGAGAAACAAGAAAAATATATGGGTGAAAGGAGTAGAAGCCCCTATAATTAGGGTTGCCGGATTTAGAGAATAAAACTACGAATGCTCCATTTAAATTTGAATTGCAGATAAATAATAGTTATGTGTTGCTTATCTGCATTTCAAATTTAATGGCACATCCTGTATTTTATCTGGCATTCCTACCTAGAGGACCACGTTCCTTACTATGATATCATATAAAACTGTTTCCTGGTGTCTGCTTAGCCCTGGTTTCACTGTCGCCTATGTAAATGCATCCAGTACATTTCACGTCCATGTGCTTGGGTTCTCTCACAGGTGGACCTGCACCTGCGGCTGCAGGTCCCGCAGGTCGGTAACTACGTGGTCGTGGTCGAGTATGCCACGGAGGTAGACCAGCTCTCTGTGGTTGATGTGCACATGGAGAGCTCTGGGTCTGTTCTGGTCGGCCAGGTGAACATCTACAGCTGCAAGTACAGGTAATCAGTCCTGTCATGGGGGATTCCTTTGTACTGGAACAATCCGGAGGTCAGCCTTGGGAACTTTGGTTTTTATCTGGATTGGGAAGTTGTGTCCTTTTTGAGGCCGATCTTGAAAACAAGCAGGAGACTATGCTCTCGGGTGTCACCCCCAGTGTAGTATTGGAAGGCTTCTCTGTGGACATCTTGAAAATGTTGCATTTTCTTGAAAAGCTGGGTGTTCCACCCACCACTTTGGCTCAGATTCCCATGAAGCAACCACAACCCTGGGTCGTTCAGGGAACTCAGTGCTCTCACCTCAAATGCTGGGTAGAGCACATGGGCGCATGGGAAAGGAGAAAAGACTCCATCACAACTGCCTTCACAACATGCCCTTAGGAGACTGGGAATACTTAATGTTTGATGATCATCAGGTGGAAAAGAATTAACCCTGATTGCTGTATTTAAAAATTCACCCTGATTCAGTTACTCTCTTCCAAGAACTTTGACAAAGATTTATTAAAAATTGTTTTCTTTGTATACTATTTCAAGATCTATGCAAATGTCCAGAGTATGCTTTAATTAAAGAATCTGTGCAAGGGGTGTTTTCAACATGAAATTAATTGTATAATAAATGGCACTGGGAGTCTGTCTCTTTAGACAGCAGGTGGAGAACTGCAGTGAACGCACCCAGTTCTTGGCCAAGGCCTTAAACAATTTTGTTACCACGACTTGCCTATGACTTTTTGTCAAACTCCAAATGACCTGAAGTAGTTGGACATTTTCCCTGTTTTGCGAATAAAAGAACTTATGAAAAGAGTTACTTTTAGGGGTTTAGAATGGAAACTTTTATGAGACTTAATGAAATGGTTATTGAGTTAACATCATGCTCTCAGCAACCTTAAAAAGGAAACTGTGAGGGCTTCTTTTAAGAATCTTTAAAAAAATCTAATCAGCCCTTTTTTCTGGGGTGATGATTTAAAAAAAAAACAACAAAGAATATAATTGCATTTGGACTTTTAATGGGGCAAAAAAGTGCCCCAGAATGTTCTTTCATTACCTAAAAATGTTAGTTTCATCTGTGGATGACATCAGCAACCACTGGAATGTACACTCCCGGGTGGGTGGGTCACCTCACCACCCAAGTCCTGGAGACTCTTGGCCACAGGGCTGGGGCAGGGCTTCTCCAGACCCTGTCCACCCTCTGGTTCAGCCCTCTGACTCTTTCCACCTTCCAGATTATGTCGCTTGATCCCTACTCCACAGGATACAAGGTGGCGATGGCTAAGGGCCCAGGAGGAAACACCCCTAATGTCCCTGGTGGCTCTCTGACCCATCTCAGAAGAGTCTGAGAACATCTAGACCAAGCAGAGGAGTGGTTTCAAAGCTAAAGAAAGAAAGGGCACCCTTCCAGGATTCCATAAACCATGAGCTTGGTTTCATGACCTCTGTCTGAATGGCTTTTGGGGCAGACAACTGTGTGGTTTTCTGTAGATCACTTTGGCTCTGGAAATGACAGCACCAAGTTCTTCTTTACCAGGGACATTAGAATTCCAAGACAGGGTTGTATTAGACTAGGACTCCCTTTTATTGTATTTAACTATTTCCAGAAACGTCCCGTGATACTGTTTCACTAGTCTAAAATATTTCTTCCTTCTCTACTTTGGCTGTCATGTGGACAAGTGAAAATGAACAGGCTGTAAGTACTGTAGTCCAAAAATGTGGTGCATTTGGAAAATATTTGACACATAAAAGCCTATTTCAAATGACAGGCCCTTTCAATATTGCAGCTTCTCCTGCTAAGGGTTGAACCTTTCTTAGCATTTCTCAAGTGAGTTCTAATGGTGTTATTTAAAAAAATATCCCAACAGAAGAGTAGTGGTGCTAATTAAAATACCACTTTTCAAAACAGTGTTGTGATAAATCTGATCGCCCTTCTGTAAGAGATGTTCACTCATGATTAAATCAATCCAGTTATTATCATTAGTCTATTCTTTTTTTTTTTTTAAAGATTTTTTTTTTTTTATTCATGAGAGACAGAGCGAGAGAGAAAGGCAGAGGGAGAAGCAGGCTCCCAAGGAGCAGGGAGCCCGATGCGGGACTCGATCCCAGGACCCTGAGATCATGACCTGAGCCGAAGGCAGACGCTTAACCATCTGAGCCACCCAGGCGCCCCATTAGTCTATTCTTAGTAAGAATTTTAAAAGGATATGGATAAAACCAAATCTTAGTCAATCACCTAATGTATTTAACTCCCAGGATTATGCTTGAACCAAAAGGAATGCATTTTAATTTCACACACACACACACACACACACACGCATGTGCTCAAAAGGGAAAAGAAAACAGCTGTTCTTTGAGTTTCTGACTGTGGCTCTTTATATACTCTCTCATTTTAATCCTTACCAAAAAGTCATTGCATAAATTATTTCAAATATTTCCCAGAGATGGTCATTTCTTTTAGTTTGCCTCCGAACTATTTTCCAAATTATATTTACAGACAGAAAAGTTGCTACAGGATATGAAATCAGAAACATTCCTCAAAAAATACTTCCTTAATGGGTTAGGGTGTATTCTTTGGTTTCAAACCGTGGCCTTTTAAATGTTCCTGAACTCCATATTTCTTTCTTTTTTTTTTTTTTTCTGAACTCTATTTCACCTGATGGGGTGGAAGGAAGGAGCGCAGCTGGTACGACAAGGAAGGAGGGATGGGAGGAGCAGACTGAGCTTCCAATGGCAAACTCTGGTTTCTCATGACTGGAGTAAGGCCAGCCCCAGTGCTGACGTGGTGTGGTGTATCATTGATCACTTTGAGGCCAATAGGCAACTTTAATCATTGACGGTACCAAGAATATTGATAAATTTCCAAAAAGGTTGTGTCTTGGAGATCAGACATCATTGACCCTGGCGGGGGGGCTTTTTCTCCCAATGATTAGACAAGGTATTGCATAAAGCTGGGTGGAAAAAGTGAACAAGGCCTTTAGCCCTGAGATGTGCCCCAGTCAGAAGGTTCTTTTTCTTGTACTGATTGTGGACTGCATCTCTCTTAAACTCATTGTGCCGGAAAACATACTGTCAGTGACCTGGTTATAAACAGGAGAAACAGAAGAGCAATCAGCTACTGCACAGGGAGGCACGGAGTCAGGGAGACCAAAGAGGAGTCAGGCTAAGCACACTCTTTCCTCTCACAGTGTCCTCTGCCGGAGTGTCGTGACTGATGGCAGGAGTCGCCTCGCTGTGTTTGAGCTGTTAGCAGATGCAGGCATTTGGCTCAAAGCGCACAGGGCCCAGTTCCTTCTGGTACGCTTCTCTTTTGCCTTTTGAATTTTAGAAGAATTTTGGTGATATCTCTATATTTTAAAACTTATGAAAACTTTGACTGGGTTTGTATTCCATCTATAAAATGAAGCTGTGAAGAATTGCCAGTTTAATGATGTGTTTTCTTCCCATCTAGAACTCTTATCTTGTTTGAGCCTTTTTTTTATAGCAACCAGTAAAGTTTGCTCATTAAGTTTGAACACATCTCACAGAACTCTATTTCATTATTGTTTATTCATTGTTACTATTATGAGTGAAATCTCTTTTGTCATAGTTCCTAGTTTATTTTTATGCTGGTGTATAGAAATGCCATTAGTTACTGTTTATTTTCTTGCCCATTTTACTATTTTATTATGTCTATTAGCTTCTTGGCAGACTCCTTCAGAATTTTCAAGGTTGCAATCACCTAGTATTTCTTTTCCAGACTATTGTTACTCTATCTCAAAAAGTATATTTTTCAGTTAATTAGATATATACCGTTAAGAGTTAAAAATACCAAGTTTGGCAGATTAAATATCTTCATGCCTCCCTTTTAATAGCACAACTTAAATATTGAGAATTGTGATAAACACAGGCAGTGGGACTGGGCTAGGAAAGGGTGGCCAGATTTATAATAAATGTCTCAGAGAACAGAAGATTATCTAAGTATGAAGCAACTTCCTGTCACTGCTAATATTAAGCATGTATCACACTCTGAGAAATGCTAGGCCAGCTTGTTCTAATGTGTTTTAAATATTCGTGCTTGACAGCATTAAAAACTTTGAGCCTTAAGAATTATCTGGAATTGAGTTTTTAAAAGTTATTACATAAATTATATAATAGCTTAAGACTTTCTTTTAAAAATTGTGACTCTCTTTTTAAAGATAACAATCTGAGTGAATCTAACCTCTTCATCTTTGGGAATTAAAACAGGGCTGCTGAGTCTTTATCTTTTTTTTTTTAATTTAATTTTATTATGTTATGTTAGTCACCATACAATACATCATTAGTTTTCGATGTAGTGACCCAGTTTTCATCTTTTAAGCATAAGTTTGCCCTTTTTGAAAATACTCTAATATCATTCGGATGTCTAACTAGAATATAAGCTCATGAGGGCAGGGGTGTTTTCCATCCTGGTCTTGTAGGATCCCTTAGTCTTAGCGCCTGGCATGTAGTAGGTGTTCAATAAAAAGTTTTATTGTTACTGAATGGGTTTGTGATCAAGCTGGTAATACAGTTTTGATTAAAATAAAATGTACTGATAAGTTAATAACTGAGTTTCTTGTGTGACTCAAAAACTAGCTCTGGAGACACTTCCTTCAGTGAAGAAATACTCCAAAGAGTATTTGTGGCAGGAGCTATAGACAACAGGCTCTGAACAGCAGGCTCCCTAGCTGCCTACCATGTACCCCCTCTCCCTGCCAAGGGGTTTGAAAAGCCAGCATCAGCCCAGGGTAGGAGAGAAAAACAGGCACCAAAAGTCACTGTTTTTGAACTTCATGATTTTATTTATTCATATTACTATTCCAAGAACATTCAAGCGGTGATCCAGTGTAACAGTAAAAAGGATTTGTTGCACATAATGATGCAATAGGGAGTGCCATTCTGCAGTTTTTTTCTACTTTAAAATAGCTATTGTAATTTCTTTACTTAACAGCTTTTTTAAGAGTATGTTTGACCATACCATTGGCTTTGCCGATAACCGTGATGTTACCTTTTTGCGTTGTATTTGTTCAACAGCATCAAGTTTGTATCGTACCCAGTGAAGAATTCTCAGCTGAATATTTGAGACCTCAAGTCAAATGCATTGCCAGTTACAGTGGTTATGTTAATCAAAGGTAATGGGTTTCCTTCTTTTCTCCCTTGTTTGTGCTCTGAGTGGTACTATAATGCTTGTAAGGCTGCGACTTTATGCTTAATGTCAGAAGGGATCATAGGCCAAGGTACTAAAGGCTGATGACGGGTTAAAATAAAAAATCAGTTAAATCATTTCCCCCAGCAGTCTTTCCAGTATTCCATAATATCAGGAAGCTGACACAGTAGCAACTGGGGGGAATGGTTAAGCTTTGCCCTCAAGGGCAGTTACTGAGTGCTGTTCTGAGCCCTCCCAAAGACTCACTTTGTTCCAATCCTTTAATCTCTGTGTCTGAGGCTCCTCATTTAAAAAACCATGAAAGTAATGACCCATCTCATCACTGTGTTATGAGGATTAGCTAACCAGTGATTATCGGGGTTTCAGGAGGGTTGTTTGTTGTAGATTCAAAAATAATTTATAGACACAGTCATGAAATCTTGGGCATATGGTTAGGACTATAGAAGCCACCAAGACAGTGAAATCTGCCTGTGCCTGAAAGAAGTGATGTGCATTTGTCTTCTTTGTTTTTATATGATTTTATGTTGACATTTATGTTTAGAGGTGAATAATAATGTTTCATTGCATTGACCCCATTTAACATGAATTTTAGTTCTAGGAGGGAAAGTTTCTGTCTGGTTACTATTTTTCAAAATTAAGATTTTCTTTCTGTTTTAGCTCATTGTATTGAGCAGGTTTGCTGGAATACACTTGACCAATTGACTACACTGAGTGTCTTTGTATAAAGATCCCTCCACAGTCCTGTGGTTCTCTCGAGACTAGATCCTTTTGATGTCACACAGTCTTTTGCTCACAGTCGCTATCTTCACCAATGGATGGTTCTTCCATTTTCGGTTGTTTTTTAATACTCTTTTTTTTCAGTGCCTCTTGTGTCTCCCTGGTCCCTGAAACTCCTCCAACAGCATTAATTTTGGAGGTTCCGAGTGGTGAGTCTTCCCCTTTCCTGCCCCAGGATCCTTCGCCTTCTGCAGATGTTGTTACTGGAGTCACCTTGAAGGCGCCACAGGTGGGACTCCCCTCAAGGGTGTTGTTTCTAAATTATGGTTCTCAAAGCATGGCCCTCACCAGAAGCATCCTCATCACCTGGGAACTTGTTAGAAATGCATGTTTACAAGCCCACCCCAGAATTACTGAATCAGAAACTCTGGAGGTGGGGCCCAGGAATCTGTGTTTTAATAAACCCTCCAGGGGATTTGGATGCCCCTGAAGTTTGAGGCCTTCTGCTCTCAACTGTGGAGAATCCTGGATGTGAGGCATCTGGCTAATCTTGTCTATGACTACCCCATCCTGATGTTCTCTTTTCTTTCTGTATCTCTACCTACACAGTCATTTGGCAACTTTTCGTGGCCCATTTTGTCATAGGTCATATTTTCATGGGCTACTGCTATGTAACATTGTTGAGATGATCACTTATCTTCCCAAGTTGGAATGTAAGCACTTGCAAAAGCTGCTCTGGCTAACAGAGTTTTTGCATCCCCAACTACCAGCAAAATGCTTTGCAGGCAGGAAATTCTCAATAAACATTTATTGATTAATAATCAATAGCATGAAGGTGAAATATAGTAAGGGACTGTATTTTTTTCACCGTAAACTATGAAGTTGCAGGACTTACAATTTGCCCTGATGATATTATATCCTTTTAATCCTAGAGATGGCTCATATCCATTCACATTGCATCAAGTTAGAAAACGAACAGGATCTGAGAGAGAAAATTTAATAAGAGCCTGTATGGGGAAGTCCACCCAGAATCATAGGGGGCGATGAATTGAAATCATGACAAGGGAGTTCTAGTCCTGGTTTTGCTCTTAAATTAGAGTATGACGTTTATCAAATTTTTTGCTTTCTTCAAGTCGTGGTTCTCAACTGAAAGATGAAGATAATCTTTTATTGCTGCTGTTTTTCTTGTTTTTTTGAGTGTTTGAAAACACTTACATCTCACAGAGTGAGGTTTTCTGGAGAGAGCAGGGCTCACACTCAAGCTAGAGCAAAAGTGGGAGCATGACTCTGGTTTTCACTGTGGTTGGACAGGGGTGAGGGGAAGGTGAAGGAGCGCAAGGTGAGGACTCCCTTCCCATGTGCTAGAATTAGTGTGGCTTGAACTTCCTGCCTGTGACAAGGGATGTGCACCTGGGCCTTCTTCTCGGCTTGTGCACGTGTGGGGCAAAAGATTAAACATGAGTGATGGGGCTTGACACCTATCAGTCAAGCATCCAAAATGGAGCCTGACTCTTTCTTACTCGGTTATTCCAAGCACTATGTGAACGCTGGGAACATTCTCACACAGCCTTTTGGCAAACATCATGCATTTCTACTGGGTATGTACCTAACAGTGCAATTGCTCAGTGATATGTTTGACTTTGGTAAAAGCTGCCAGACAGTTTTCCAAAGTAATTGTACCAAATTACATTCCCTCCAACATCATTTATGGCTGACCACACTGTTGGTTCATCCATTCTGAGTTGCAGGTCATTTGGTTTGTTTCCAGAATTTCTGATTACAAAGAGTGCAGCTGTCAACATTCAAGTGGAAGTTTTGTGTGACCATGGGTTTTCATTTCACCTGGTTAAATATCTAGATGGTTTTGGTTTTTAAACTCTAAATGTTCATAGCTCTGCAACTTGAGAAGTTATTTTATCCTCTTTTTCCTACCTAGAACCAAGTGACCCTGCGAGGACTTGTACCACGCCTAGGCCGGTATGTCATTGTCATCCATTTTTATCAAGCAGCACACCCAACATTTCCCACACAGGTCTTTGTGGATGGAGGGCGGCTGTGGCCAGGTGAGCATCGGGGAGCGGACACCATAGCTGCGTGCCCAGCTGGGCCTTCCGGGACCATGATAGGAATTCCTCTCGCTCTGCCTCCAGGTGTCTTCCGTGCCTCTTTTTGCCCCCATGCGCTTGGCTGCCGGGACCAAGTCATTGCTGAAGATCAAGTTGAGTTTGACATCTCAGAGCCAGAGGTGGCTGTGACTGTGAAGGTTCCAGAAGGAAAGTCCTTAGTATTGGTATGGTCTACTTCTCCCTCAGCTTGCTCTTCATGTGCTTGCCTTGGCCAGCCGTTCTCTGTACCTGTTTGGCTCATGACAGTAATTCCTCCAAGGAATTGAAGTCTTACAGAAAAATGTTTAAATTTTATAGCTACCTTTTGCAAAAAAAAAAAAAAAAAAAGCAGGTGACAATTAAGGTCAAGGGAAGTTGGCACAATGGGTAAGTGTTTAGGAAGAAAAAACTCCCTGGCAGGAAGCTCTGGAGAACCAGGGTCTCACTCTGCATCAGTCCCTCCTCACACCTCACCTGACTGGTCTCTTTCTGAAGCATTTAGTCTTCCTTTGTTCTTGCAACTTTCTTTTTTGAGCTTCCATAGCTGCTTTCTCTCATTTTGTTCCCACTTTCTGGAGTGCTCCTTCAGTGATTTCTCTTTCCTTTTGTCCACATATGGTGGTGTTCCCTTGGGTGTGATGCTGAGGCCCCTTGTTCTGTCATTGCTCTTTGGATAACATCATCTGTATCCGTTGATTCTGTTCTCTCTTGTGGGGGGGGAATGACACCACATCTCTGAATTCATCTCTGATATTTCCTGAGCTCTGGGCCCAGTATGGGACCATCTACTGCGTATCTGCCTAGCTGGGGACCTCATGGGTCCATCAAACATAAGCCTGTTACCTGCATAACCCCAAGTATCCTCTACCCTGTTCATTACCTTGGTTGATGGAATCAAGGTCACTCAAAGCCTGTAAAGCCTTCCAGAGAGCCAGGTAACATTGTCCAGGCCCTGCTGTGTGAGCCTGTAGTTTCTTGCTCACGCTCCCTTCTGTCTGTGAGGAGGCCATCTTCCTAGAGACAGGGGCCTGACTTGATGCATTTTGTATCCCCCGTGCCTAGGATACCACCTGGCACACGGTGCTCGGCAAATGCTTACTGATCAAATAACACGAGAGCAGTAAGCTCTCTGTAAGCTATAAGTTGGTGACTAGTTGACAAAGACATTTGAAATTTCCTATAGCATTTGTTACTGGAATAGTCTGATTGAAACTGGCACAGAGAGCCGAGCAGCACTGTTAAAGACTAGGGCTGCAGTTATTCATAACAGAATATCTGACATGATATAAGCTTCAGGGCAAGCCATGGTATGAGTTTCTCCCATTGGTTCTGCCATTTTGGTTTGTTCACCTTTAAAAATACAAAATGTGACCTTTGGTGATCCAGGGTCATCCCCGGTATAGATCACATGGGGCCCTGGCCCTCCTAACAGGCCCCTGATGACCCCTTAGATGTCCTGTCCCCACCGAGCACTTGAGGCTGCTGCTTCTCTGAGCAGGTGCTCTGAGGGATCTGCCCCAGCACACTCCATTTCTAACATAGGAACGTGGGTTGAACCTTTAACACCGGCTTAGGGTTGTTCTTGCGATTCTTTTCTCATAAATCCTGTTTCATGTGGTCTTGGGCTTCACAATAAAGAACGCTCGTCGTAGTGAAGGGAAAGTATAATAAATAGCCGTAGGTGTGCCCTGCTGTTGGAAATCCAAAGCCATGCTGACAGGTTTCCTTTAGGTCCGTGTTCTAGTGGTGCCTGCGGAGGATTACGACTACCAAACACTTCACAAAAAATCAGTGGACAAGTCATTTGAGTTTATCACCAATTGTGGAGGAAACAGTTTTTATATTGAGTAAGTATCACTTTGTGGAGCTTCCTCAGCCTCTCCCATGTTCACGCTCAGCACAAGGTCCAGGGTGGGCTTGGCCTTTGGGTCTGTCTTCCTCCTAGGGCCCATGGGAGTGGCAGTGCATCCTGGGTCCGGGGAGGGAGATGCTTTTCCTCTGCATTCACCATCCTACACCAGACCTTGTGCTGCCCATTTGGGCAAGATTACTGTCCTCAACTTTGATCCCTCCAGATGTTCACCCTCTGAGCTGGGATTCACGGGCTGCTTAGGAGTTTCTTGGCCTCTTTGCTGCATCCTGTTATCCAACTCAGACTCCTAAAAGATACCATGTGGGGTGCCCTCCTCCGGGAAGCACATCAGCCTAGATTCTCCCTCTCCTTTGCCATCTGATTGAGTGGGGAGTGTCACAGAGAGGCAGACCTCCCTGTCCCCTCTCCCTGGATCCTTGAATGCCAAGAGCTGAGGATAGCCCTGCGTATGGGCTCCTGCTCTTCTCTTCTGCAGACCCACCCTGTCCCCTTGCAGATTTCCTGAGGGACCCAGGAGCTCCAGGGGACCGTGGTGAGCAGAAGTCTCCTGTACAGAAAACATTAAGAGTAGAAGCTCTGAAGTCCAATAGCTAGGGGGTTTGAAAGTCTGCTTGGCCACTCTGTAGCTCTGTGGCCTTGGATGTGTTGTTTAACTTCTAGAGGCCTCTGTTGTCTTATCTATGAGATGAGGCTTAGGCCTAACTGGTTGGATGGTTGTGAGGTTCAGTGAGATGTAGGCAAAACTTCTAATACACAGCATTCAATAAAAGTAGACACTTTGCTGCCTCCCCCTCCCATTGTTACTGTTACTGGTGCATACACATCTAGGTATAATTTTTTTGTAACTGCTTGAGACATATTTCACATACCATAGAATTCATCCTATAGGTGAATTTTCACCCTTTTATTTCAGCCACCAAAAGCTCCCACCCACCAGTCCTGGGATGTGTTCTGGAGTGGATGGGTGGAAGGAAGGCTGGCTGTCGCTGTGAATCCAGGGGTGGGGTATTCTCTCATTTCTTCCCAGACTACACAGCCAGAGTCCCTCCCCCAAAACACCAGTTGGTGGAGCAAATGGGAAGGAGAAGTTTGGGACTTTTACCGTGGGGCATGCCTCCCGGGATAATGCCATGAGCTGTTTTTGTTTTCATAGCCCCCAGACGGCCTCTGGATTCTGCAAGAGCTCTGCCAGGTCCCTGGTGGCCCTTTACCACAAGGGCGCACTGCCTTGTGAGTGCCACTCTACTGGGGCCGTTGGCCGTCACTGCAACCCAGAGGGGGGGCAGTGCCCCTGCCGGCCCAGTGTCATTGGGCGGCAGTGCACTCGCTGTCGAATGGGCTACTACGGATTCCCACACTGCAAGCGTAAGTGCTCGTTTGGCGCATCCAAGGTTGTCTCTGGTCCCAGGTGGGTGCCGCTCATCTAGGGCGGACCTTCTTGAGTTTCGCTGTGCTGGAGACTCACCCAGGGGTCTTGTGAAAGAGCAGATTCTGATTCAGGAGGCCTGGGCTGGGGCCTGAGAGTCTGCATTTCTTTTGATCACTCAGATGATGTCCATGCCAGTGGTCTGTGGACCACAGTCTGAGTAGGTAGGTTCTAGAAGATAAAAATTTGTGTTTCCCGTGCTATGTGACCCATGTGCTTGGCAGAGCAGGTGAATTTAAAGAGCCTTAAGGATCAAACTGTTGGACCCCTCCATCCCTCTTCCTCGTGGAAGCCCCTTCAGTTTGTTCAGCCTAACCAAAACTCAATTGAAATAGGAGGAGAGCCAGGGTCACAGGAGCTTAGTGCTTTCTGAAGGGGAAGCCTGGGGACTTTTATCGAAGAACATCCTGTGGCCTGAGACATAGGGTCAGCACAGGCCATGGGGTGGCAGTGAGGGATGCGTGTGTGGTGCAAACAGAGTCTTCACCTGGAGACTAGCCTTTGTCTAATGAGGGTCCTGCTGCTGCATTATGCCCTGACCTTGAGCTCCGTTGCACTAAGGTGACGTGGAGCCCCTGCAGGGGGCCTGTAAGAAGAGGCCCCTCTGACAGATGAGAGGCGTCTCATTAGAATGGCCTGTAACTACAGCTGGGTGGCTTCCTTTGAGTTCCTGTCTTGGTGCCAGTGGGCCCAGCTGTGCCTCAGTCAGCGTTCACATGCTGTGTCTGCTGTGAGCATTTGGTATAGTTGGTCTGGGCCCCAAGAGAGGTACCTTTCAGATCAGCCACACTCAATAATGGCATAATGAAGAAAAAGCAAGACGTTTCTCCCAGACCCCTTGGAAGCTTCTGGAAATGTTGGCAGTTGGTGAAGTCCTGCTGGAGGCCAGGTGGCGTCTCTCCCTTATACCATGTCTCTTGATTCCCTGGCCAGCATGCAACTGTGGCCCACGCCTTTGTGAAGAGATGACGGGGAAGTGCCTCTGCCCTCCCCACACGGTCAGGCCCCAGTGTGAGGTGTGTGACACGCATTTCTTCAGCTTCCACCCCCTGGCTGGCTGCGAAGGCTGCAACTGTTCCAGGAGGGGCACCGTTGGGGCCGCCACCCCGGAGTGCGACAGGGACCACGGGCAGTGCAGGTGAGCCCGGGGGACTGACCTATTAGGTCGTCTTATGGGAAGGGAAGATGTCCTCTGCACACACCAGTCACCATTCCTTCCTGTGTCTCACGGGTCCAAGGACAGCACTGGGCTCACCTCAGGGTGGAGCTCCCCACCCTGGACGGGCTGTGTGGTGTGTGGAGTAGCTGGGCCCCTCAGGCTCAGGGTAGCCTGGCAGAGCCAGGGCAGGTGGACGGCCAGGCGCCTGGGGTCATAAACCGCCTTGCCCATGCCCTGCAGCATTGTTCTCGGGGTGGCCCATATGTATGCATAATTAAGTTATCCTTTCCTTGACTGTGTCCCTGTGTGGTGAGCACCTATCTATCGGTATTTAGGTTTGGGCTCCAAGTCTTCGTGGTGTTTTTGTTGAGGACAGTGCGTGACAAAGTCCGCAGGCCTCAGGCCTGCCGCCCTCAGGCAACTCGAAGGGGTGCTGGGGCGTCCACGGTGGGCCTTGGCTGGCGGTGGGCAGGCAAGGGAAGAAGGTATACGCTGGAGAGCCCAACCTGAGAGTGGGGCTGCCATTGGGACTGACTGAGAGGCCCAGGGCACGACTGGTAAGGGACAGTGGCAAAGGTCGGCTCCCACAGATGCTGTGTCGCTAAGAGGTTCGGCTCTGTGGGTTGAGCTCTGCGTGGGGAACTAGAGGCCAATGTCACACGATTGCAGGTGATCAGCCTGATCTCAGCAGGACTGGAGAATGGTCCCCGGGGATGCAGAATGGATCTAGTCTTCTAGGAAAAGAGGCTGGAAGGAGTCGGCAAGGGGCTTATGTGGGGGGGAAACTGAGCCAGGGCTTTGGCATCTGGGCCCATATGGCAGTGTGCAGGAGCAAGTGTGAGGCTTACCACCCGCCCTGCACTCCCCCCACCTCTGGGGGGTAGACGTTCTGGGGTCTGTGTGGGTGATCTGGGTGTGACAGCCAGGGTGGGGGGGTGGGGAGGCTGTTGCTGCGGGTGGCAGGCATCCGCGACTCCAGTTCAAGGGCGGCTGTATTCATTTCCTGTGGCTGCTCTAACAAATTACCACGAACAGGATGACTTAAAGCAATATTTATTTTCTCATAGTCCTAAAGGCTAAAAGCCTGAAATCAAGGTGTTGACAGTGCCGTGCCCTTCTAAAGTCCCTGGGAGACAATCTGTTCCATGCTTTTCTCTTACCTTCTAGTGCTGCCAGCAATCCTTGGCGTTGCTTGGCTCATAGATGAGTCACTCCAGTCTCTGCTCCGCCATCACATGGATCCTCCTGGTGTGTCTCTATCTTTACATGGCATTCTCCTCTCTCTGTGTGTCTCTTCTTAGAAGGACACCGGTCATATTGGATTAGGGCCCACCTTATTCCAGCATGACCTCATCTTAAGTTGATTATATCTGCAAACACCGTCTTTCCAAATAAGATTACCTTCTCAGGTACTGGAGATTAGAACTTGAACATATCTTTTTGGGGACAAAATTCAACTCTCTGTAACAGCGACGTTCACTTTTCCTAAGGAAGGACACCTCACCACACCTTTAATTGTTGCTTGGGGTCCTCACAGCCCCTTTGTGCTACAGGAAAGGAGGCTGAGTGACAACTTGAGTCATGAAACCTTCCGAGTCTTTAAAACCACAGGTGTGAGTCCGCCCTGAGTCAGCTCAGTTGCTCATCCTTCTCAAACTGTGAGCCTACACTGAAGGCGATTTACACAGAGGATTTTGAGGTGATATCCAGAATTATTTCATCACCACTAGCTAACATATATCAGGTTCTATTCCCTCCGATGCTTAAGCTATTCTCCGGATGGAAGTCAGGCTCTTAGAGCTCATTACTGAAGATGCTACATTGGGTCTTGAATGCACCCATGGGCCCATGAAAACGTCTAGCTTATTTTCAGTTAGTAACTGATGGAGAAAGACAATGGCACCTGGGCTGGAAGCACAGACCTGCAGGAATGCTTAGGAGCAGAGATGCACCGTGCCCAGGAGATGCTTGCAGGCTTGTGGCTGCAGAGGGTGGAGGATTGGGAGGCTAAGAGAACCTGGCTGTACCGGTCAAGACACAATCAACGGTATAGAAGGGAGAGAGAAAGACAAGATGTGTGTGATCCTGTGACTTCATTAGTGACCTAGATTTGCCTCCCCAGGGACAATTGCCTCCATTCCCTCTCTTTGAGCCCTTGGTCCAAAACAGTAGCTGGACAAATGCCAGAATCCCGTAGATTTGGTCTATCACACGGCCATGCTGCCTCATATCAGCTGGGCTGTTTGGTATTCCTCTTGACATCTCCTCTCCTGACTTCTTCATTTCACAGAGCTGTCTTTTTTTCCTTCTGTTCTTTCATGGATGGGTATCACTTTCCGTCTGGGGGCTATCAGCCCCACTATGCTTTTCATCTTGTTCTTTTCTGTCTCTACCAGGGTCTTCTTCCCTCAAATGGCGAACGTGCACTATTATTTTCCGTCACTCCCTTACCACTGAACCTCTCCCTTTTCATGTTCCCAGAGGTACCAATCTCCCTTTCTTGAAAATCAGTACCCTCTTAGAGACAGCAAATTGATAGCCAGTCATAAATATTGACACCAGAGCTCCAGAGTATTTGTAAATAAAATGTGTGGCTCTCAATGGAAACAGACACAAGGTTAAGGAGGATGGAGTATTTCTCTCCAGGAAGCCAAGAGAGCAACACCAACAAGGTCTTCCATCTCGGGTATGAAAAGGTGGTCATGGGAGAGTTAGAACAACAGTTGAAAGACAGCCAAGCCGGTCTGTTGCTGTTGAAACATGTCAGCAGTACCTCTCTCTAAAACACACACAAACCTGGGGTGCCTGGGTGGCTCAGTCAGTTAAATGTCCAACCCTTGATTTTGGCCCAGGTCATGGTCTCAGGGTCATGAGACCGAGCCCCGCTTTGGGCTCCGCACTGGGTGTGGAGCCTGCTTAAGATTCTTTTTCTCGGAACCCTCCTACACTGTTGGTGGGAATGCAAGTTGGGCAGCCACTCTGGAAAACAGTATGGAGGTTCCTCAAAAAGTTGAAAATAGAGCTACCATATGAGCCAGCAATTGCACTACTGGGTATTTACCCCAAAGGTACAAATGTAGGGATCCGAAGGGGCACGTGCACCCCA